TTGAGCAATCGCTTTACCTCTCAGCCTGTTACCTTATTTGAAAAATGAGATGGTTCAAGGAAAATCAGGTCTTGAGCCTCTTCTAATTCTACTGTACCCTAATCTCCAACTTCACCATGACATCTTACTGTCTTACACTTAACAAAATGTCCTGATATGATTAGATAAGTAAATAGTGGTTGTCAAGCTAGTCTACCCAAAATTCTCCAATGCAAAGTTGTTTAGCTTGTGGTAAATTTAGTTAAAATGCAAGATTTACAAAACGAGTTCTAACAATTCTCTCAGTTTCCATGTTTACCTACAGACATGATGATTTTCATGTGCTTAAAACTTTATGTAAAAGATAAATATAATATCCGAATTTCCTCTGAAATTTAAATATGTTGTTGCTATCGGGGCTGGAGCAAGGTGTTTTAGCACAACCTGATCTAGGAGAGGTTAAAAATCGCTGCTTTAAGGGATGCCCCAGGCGAAGGTATGCAGTGTAGGGAGAAGCGTAAGGAGTGGGGTGCTCTCTAGGGCTTCTTCCCTGACCACACCACCCTTCTTCCCATCCCCTCTGTCTCATGGAAGTTCCCAAAGGTGGGCTGCTCTGAATCTGAGTCTAGACCGTTTGCACCAAAGGTACCTGTGATGCCCTTGTTTCATTCCAGCCCAACAAACTAGTCCCTAGTAACTTGTCCACACCATTGCCCATGCGATTGTCTTTCTTGGGAAGCAGCTTCACCTAAATCAGCGATTCTCAGTGCTCTGAGGTTTAATATTTGTTTTATATTCCAACTACTTGTCACACCTCCTTTATTGACTGAAATGAAAATGGTAGAAAATATAACTTACCTTCTCACTATATAACGCTCACGTTATTTTAAAAAATGAAGAAATGTTAGACGAGTAATTTGTAATAAAAGAACATTTCAATGTGTAAAAGCTTAGGCAAGACAACACTAGCAGCTGTAATGAAGTAGTCTGATGCTTGCTGTGTGTCTAGACTCACAGGGAAAGCCACAGATGAACTATCACGCTAGTGACAAATACCAAAATCCCACTCGCTGTTTGCTAAATGCCAGTAGCATCTCTTGACCACTTATGCTGTAATCACCTTTATCACAAGTTATTTTTTCAAATAGTTTTTTTAAAACCTAGGTCAATGACCCTGATGTGAAGTTTGGCCATTGTAGCCACCTCCAGAGAGCTATTTTGGTTTAAAGAATATTTCACTGCCTCCAGTACCAGGCAACTACTGTCTGTCCTTTGTCTGATTTTTTCTGAAAGGTCTTGAAATAGGAATGTCATAATGCATAAAAAACAATCTCAACAATTAAAACTAACATTTATTGAATGCTTACCATATGATTTTAAAAATCATTTTGCATTAATACCTTATTTAACCATTATAACTCTATAAGTAATGTTATTTTCCAGGGATATTTGGCACAAGAAATTAAGTGACATGACTAAGATCACACATCTAGCCACATCTAGCCTCTTGCAGAAATCAACTCCTTTATCATAGTAGTAAACAAAGTATTAATACTATCCATTTTAAGAAACAGACATTTCAGGATGAAAGGAAGTTTCTTTCTCCAATGTCTTTCTCACTGTTTGAAATTTGAGCCCATGATTTCTTGGCCTGCTCTGTATTTTAGCACTTGGAATGTAATTAGATAGGTTTTGACTTAATATTTTCATTCAACTGTTTCAAAATAGATTTTTCTCCTCCTAGTATTTCATCTATATGTAAAATCGCAGACTCATTCATTAGAAGATTTGGAGTAAAAATGTTTTTCTCAACTCTCCTTTCATTGCCAGTGTCTTGCTCTAAATCAGGCTTGTTTTAACCGAATTAAGGGAATTACTTAAAAGTCTCTGTGCAGAGTAGAGAGCCATTGTGGCCATTCTACAGAGGGTAACACAGTGTGGTCAGGGGTCTCCAAAAGAGTGCCAGAAACTGTGGTCATGCTTTGTTCAGGGAGGTAAATCCATTTCTTCCTAGAAACAGCCAAGGTGTTTGAACATTATGATCAACAGTTTAGGGTTGGATTTTACCCTCATGTGGCTGCTTACGTTGTAAAGACAACAAAGTCAATTACTCAAAGCAAACCTATAATACGTTTATTTTTCCTTTCAGGGGGAAAATGATCCCATCTGATCTTGAAAGAAGGATCCTTGAAGCCAAACAGAAAGTAAGTTTCTGCACAGAGCTTTATCCAGACTATATTTCTACTTTCCATCCAGTGAAGAATACACTTCGAGTTTTATTTTAAAAAGAGGATTCAAGCCTCGATCCCCAGCTTTAGTGAGAATATAGAATTCTGCATCCAGACATTAGTTCTTTCTCTGAATGGTAGGCTCTGCTTTAGAAAAGTTTAAATT